CCGGGGCCGCGCACCGCTGCGGGCGCTCGGCGCCGGGGCCGCTCCTGCCGCAGTCGAGCGCCGGAGCTGCTGCGGGGCGTCTCGGTGGCAGAGCTGCCGGGTGCCGGGAGGGGAGGCTCGGCTTCGTCCTCACGCTTTGTCCTCGGACGGAATCAGCTGTGACCCCCGAAACCGCTCCTCCTGCCGCCACCATGGTGGCCAAGGATTATCCTTTCTACCTCTCCGTCAAGAGGGCAAATTGTGCCTTGGACGCGCAGACAGTGACCAGCCCGGCTAAAGAGACGGAGGTACTTAATCTGCCGGTGATACGGTTGCAACTTCTTTTTTCTCTATAGCGTGGCCCGCATTGCCTTGGGGAAAAGGAATGCGCTTTGAAAATAAGCGTCTATGTACGGATGCCTGGTTTGTTTAGGCATCCTTTGCTGCCGTCTCTAGACGTTGAACTTTCCTTTGGAATAAGGCAAGGAACAAAGAATCTAGATTTTCATCAGCTGTCATTTTAAGGAATTAAAATTAATCTTTTAAGCAGCTAATTGAGAAATGCCTGGTTTAGATATGTAGTTTAAAGTCATTTATATGTATTTTATTCCAGTGCTAACTATTACTTACAAATTGTTTAGCTTACGGAGGAACTGGTTAAATGCTTTGTTGAGTGGAGGGAATCTGGAAAACGGTGTCTTAAAGCATTATCTGTCTTTTCCTTATTGGTAACAAACCAAGAAATTAATACGATAACAGTTAACTGAAAACGCTGCCCTGCCAGCAGGTTGACTACTCTGTTTCTTAAAAAGCCTGAAATCCTTTCAAGTGACATTAAAAATCTTACTTATTCACCCAAATTCAACATACTCATTTGCAAAATTCTCATAAATGGTAAAACTTTTCAGCAACAATGTTCATGAAAGACTTAAATATTCGGTACTTTAAGTCAATGTTGCTTTGTGTGCTTGTTTGGAAAGAAAACAGTGACCTTAAGGACTCTGTCTAGCTGTGCTGCGGGAGGGATAAAATTTCTCTCTGGAAGTTTTTATCACTTAAATATATAGCTTCTTCACTAGTCTTGTTTGCTGAGTAACTTAAAGACAACTTACTTAGTTGGGTGCATTTAATACAACTACATCAAAGATTAATTACCTTCAGCAGTTGAATACCTCTAAAGTAAAAGTGACACAAGCCAAGTCGCTATTTAATCATGATGCTTAAGCTGGGAACTAATAAGAAGATGCTGCGGTCTTCCTTTTCAGTGTACTTTTACATAAAGGAGTTTAATTATTGCAGTTAACAAAAGTGGAATTTTTTCAACTGCGTATTTTGGAAAATGAACACCCTGAGTGTGTGCGTGTACGTATGCACCTATGTAAAACACGAGTTGTTAAATACCAAATGGTTCTCTTAAGGATGCTCATTTTACTAACTATAATGTGAAAGAAATGTGGTTTTAGCCTTTACTGCATGAAGCGTTTTTTATGAATGAATTGTCAAATCTGAAGAGTCGGAGTGTTGCTCTCGTACAGTTAGGAAGGGCAGCTTAATTATAGTCAAATTTCAAAGAAAAAGTCTCAGTGAATGCTTAGAGCATGAGGAGGTATCTAATAACAGATGTGATCAATCAGAATTACAACGTGCAAACAGTTGGTTTGGATTTATAACCTTTCAGTTTCTGTTTTATACGGATAAGAAAATGTACCCTATGTTTTCAGGCGGTTTTCTGAGAGTCTGATGGACTTCCAGCATTCTGAAAAATAAACTTTTAGACATTCTCCTGTTTGTCTTAGGAGGGTATGAAAAGACCACCTGCCGCTCCAAAAATGTGGTTAAGGAAGCAGAAATAAAACCTGCTCTTTGGGAAGGGCACTGCAGGGATAGATGTGTGCAGCCTGGTTCTTTGAAGTCTGTCGGGGGGTGGGGTGGGGAAACCACGTTTCTTGTCAAGCTCTAATATTAAGCTGGTTTTCCACCCTTTGGTATATACAAGTCTAAATAAAGCTATTGGGCGCCTTCTACCACAATTTTGTGTTACTGCACCAGAAAGCTAGCTCGTGTGGGGGTTATGAATTTGTGGCTTTGAAAACCTGCGTTTCGTTTAAATTATTATCATGTGAAGTTGGTTGATTTATTTAGCAACCTAACTTGTGCATAAATGGTGATATGTGTGGAACAGAACAGATTTTCTGCTATATAGGTGTTGGGTTTTGGTTTTAAATCAGAACTCATGATTATAAAATATTTCTCTTGACCTTATTAAGCAATAATCTTTTAGTGTTTGTTTTGAACAAATACAAAATATAGTCTGGAAGATCAAGTACATTCGTACTTACATGGGATGAAATTCAGCTAAAAACTTGAGCGTATACTGAACTGTTAAAATTTTCCCAAATTTCCAGCGGGGTCTCTGGGTAACAAGCTGAAGCTTAAGGGCAATAGATTATTAGTTCTTCCTTATTGTTGGGCTTCACTTGGAGCCTGCAGAGCAGCAGTGGAAAACTAGGAATGTTTTTGGTGAACAAGTCAGTGGCACAAAAGAGGACGGAGGTTTTCTCCTTAGAGTTCTTTTTTTAAGCCACACTGGCTTCCTTGGCATAAACTCCATAGATGTAGCATGGCCACAAAACTGTGACAAATAAAACATCTGAAACGCGTGTGAACAGTAAAAATCTGGATTCTGAGAAAAGTCTGGTGTACCTCTAGTGAAAGTACAACTATAATTCTTTCTAATGCAGTTTAAGGGCAGCACAACATTTCAATGTCTGAGGAATGAATTAATACAGGAAATACTATAAGACCTTTACGTACACCATCGCATACCCCACATACAATAACGTAGTACAGTTCTAGGAGTAAACAGTACAGAGGTGTTGGGCTCGTTCCAGCTTTTTCATAATACAAAAATAGAGACGGTAAAACTTGAAATTTCCTTGCTTTAAGGTATAAAAAGCCCCACATCTTTCCCAATGACATATAGATACACACACACCATTTAGGGTGTTTCACTGGTTAAAGCACCCTTACCACCCCCTCTAAAGGAAACACAGTGAAGCAGAGCCAGTGGATGGGCAGCAGACAAGAAAGGGCTCACACAATCACAGAATGAAGTTTAAAGGTCTGAAGTCACGGGAAGACGTGAATTCCTCAGAGTAAGGATGTTAGGTTCTGCTGTACAGGAGCTCATACGGTGCCTGGGTTTAGGCTCTAAAAACTACAACAGTGGCATAAATCCCGTTGTGTCTCCAGTATGTTGTCTGTCTGCCTACATCTCTTGCGCTGCAGAAGTCTTAGACCTAGGCATCAGGGCTGTTTGCAACCTGTCTCTTGTTGTCTCCTGATAGCCGCGCTATTTTGATGTGCAGGAAGTCTAGGCTGCCTCGTGCTCAGGATCGTGTTTAATTCGGCGTGGGGAGTGCAGGAAAGCTAACCTGAAGGGTAACCCACAGGCCTCCGGGCCATGGCACATCATGAACGTGAGAACCAGGCATGGAGCCAGAGGGAGAGGGGCCAAAAGATTGAGATAAACAGCAAGTCATGAATTTTCTTTGATCTTCATAAACGTATGTATTTCTTTTTTTAATGAAATATAAGCAGGCTGCAGTTTTGATATGTTTCAGGTAAGTTCATGTGCAGTGTAACTGCAGTGAGCTAAATGTGGAAACATGTGAAAACCCCACGCTTGGAATTGCTGATCTGTTCTGCTTAACGGCAATTGGAAACAAACAGCTTGCCTTTATTTTTCCATTCAGTAACTCGCCGTATGATGTCTGCTTGTTAATTGGCGGTCCAGCTTCATATCCAGTTTGTTCCAGAATGGAAAAGGTCTTGCTTAGGTAGTCTGTACAAGCAGCTTCTAATGAGAGGAAACGCAGAATTTAATCAGCTCTACAGTAGTTATCTGGGTTTTTCAGAGTTTCTGTTACTTGTGTTAATTCACCTCAGTGTGAGGTTTTTCTGTTAATTGGCCTTCGTCTCCTAACTGCTGGCAGACATATTGATTTCTGGATATTGCAGATGAGTGATCAGTCAAGACAGCTGGATGCAACTTGTCCTTGTGCTACCGACGCCTCAGTGGTTCTGTCTTGCATGCAGCAAATGAAATGGAGGTCCTAAGAGTGGTGACTAATGAGGGCAGCCTGCTTGCGGCAAGGAGCTGGTCTTTGACGAACACATGATGCGATAGCGTGTTGCAAACTTCAGCTGATTTTCTTCGACTTAAGAATACTTCACCGCTTCTCTATATAGCTTTTCGTTGTACCCCGACTATCGTTTCAGGTCCTCTTTATAATACTGTGATCAAAACAAAATGTCTCTGGATTTTGCTTTATTTGCTTGCTGGTTTTACGGCGACTGGCAGAGGAGGAGTAACAAACCTCCTCCCGCTCCCATCAGGGAGCACAGGCAGTGGATGGGGCCTTGTGGATTTGAAGGAAAGTTGTATCATTGATACAATTTATCGGCTGATCAAGTTGCCTTTGTGTATCACTTTACTTAATGGCTTAATAAAGGCGTCTTGCGATGCTGGCTGTTTTACTAATGGGATGCCTCCCCTAGGTTTTAGGATGGATTTGTGTGGATGATTACCGTTACCTTTGTGCAACACTGAACTGTACTTAGAGCTGCTTTTGAGTCACCTACTTCGTTTTTCTTGACCATCAGCCTCAGCTCGAGAAGAATGAATGTTCTAGAATTTCCCAATTGGAATATTTCTAAGATACTGTGAAGCAAAGGCAAATTCTCTGCTGTTTCAAGTATTAAAAAATAGAGTCTTTATTGGCGCCAGTAACAATTGAGAATGTTGTTCTAGGTTTTGATTTGCTTCTCTCTGAAGGTGCAAAAAGCCTGAGATGCCTGGCGGAATTTATTTTTGGGTTAAGTGTTCGCTGTATTAACAGACTGTGTTGTAACATAGGTTGTTTTTTCTATTTTAACCTTTTTTGTTTGTTTTGGTTTTTTTATCCTG